AGATGGGGATTCAATTTCCACTTCTTTGGGTCAGTCAGTGCTAAAGACCATAGCTGTGTCCTTCTCCATACTAGCTGGTGAAGTTCGGTGTAAAAGTATCTTCAACCCAGTGAAAATGCCAGTATTTATCCTATCATCCGGAGCAGAATCAAGCCTAAATCTGACAGCAAGGCTGCAAAGCGAAGGGCTGCAAGAGGGCGCAGATAGCCGCTGGTTCTGACCATGCACTGCTTGTTTACAGCGGGCACAGATGACACCGTGTATTCCAAATGCCCCTCGTTTCAGCCGTTTCCTTCCAAGAAGAGGAGGGAAACGGTATCTCCGGGGCTCTGCCGCCTGCTCGGGGGTGACGGTGAGGGAAATAACGGGGTGTCTCCGCGGGCTGCCGGCAGTGCGGCCGGTACCGTCGCCCCGGAGGGGAAGGCGGGCGCCCGGTGTCCTTTGCGCCCCAGCGGCAGCACCGCTCCTCCCAGCCTGTCCTGGGCCGCCGGCTTCGTTTAATAAGGCATGACAGGGAGTTTCAGCAAACCGAGCCCTAATGCGTGCTCCAGAGAGTGGGTTTCCCCCTTCCAGGTTAGCCCCTGCTGAGAGCGAGGGGTGGGAACAGGACGGGAATAAGAAAGGCAGGTTTGGGGACAGGAAGAAAACCCGACGCCGTTTCACGTCTGGAGCAAAATACTAAACGCGACGAAAGGCTGGGTGCTCGCCTTCGGCATTTCTGCGTTTTTGCCTTATTGATGGTATAGTCTCCCTTAAAGCTTTTCTTTTGGACACATAAGGACCTCCTGAGACCCCCTCAGTGTTTCTGTGAGAGATGCTTAGGTCTCAGGTGACGCTGTCACTCGCGGGTGGGTTATGCGAAGATGCTCAGAACAGCTGGCTGCTAACTCAATTCTGGTTAAATCAAATCTATAAAAAAAAAAAAAAAAAACCACAACAAAGCAAACAAAAAAGAAAGAAAATAAAATGTCCACTCACGGAAGCCACTGAAATGCTGTCGATTTTCATTTACCTATGCCTCCTGCCTCCCACGGAATTAAATTAACATCATAAATACTCTTCTGCTTTTAAATCAGGGAGTTTGCCACGCAGATTGTGTTTCTACTGCTTATTCTAACATTAAAAGGCTGCCGCAGTTTTATGGCTCTCGACGAGTCTGGAAGCGATAGCAATTGAAATCGAAAGCCCAGATTCCTACACGATGTACTCACTGCAATCAGTAAAACAGCGGATCTTATTTCCTCAGGCAAACTTATCCTGAATGTTCTAGGAGCGGGAATCAGGAGGTTTTGATCTAAAAAGGCAAAAATCTCCAGAGCTTCCTGCTGTAGGAGAGTAGCGCTGCTTCGGGCAGCCAACAGGTAAAAATAAATAAATAAATAAATAAATAACCGAACACACAAACAAACGAATAAATAAATAAATAACAAGAATTGGCAGATGACCTCCAAATAGATGCCGGTATCCGACATTCAGAGCTAGACGGAGACAGAAACGTGTGCTCGTTCGGATCCTGTAAACGCCATTACATGCTCTCCTAGGCACATCCCACTCACTGCTCTGTCCTCTCGCCCCTCAACGTCACTTATGCGGTGTGTGCTGTCATTGTACCAGCTTGTCTTTACACCCCAGAATAATGCGCCTATTATTCTCTTCTCTCCAAAGCTTCCACCTCTAACCATGTCGTAAAAAATAGCCTTAATAAAACAGTGATAATTACGCCATTATTGTTAACAATACCCATTAAAAATTTAAAAATAGGCTTTCTGCTTTGGTCACCGATTGGCTCTACGTATCAGGGGTTTGGTCGGCAATATATAGTTTCTCTATATGTCAAAACTTTCTTCCTATTTTAAAGACGTCAAGACGTGGGGTTTTTAGAGCAACTGAAGGCGCATCATGGCTTCCCAGTCGTAATTGGGCATCATCGGTCACAAGTTATTGACACCTTGTTGACCGGCGAAAGAAAATAAATATCCCGCGGGAAAGGAGAGTGTGATGTGTCTTTCCCTCTCCAGACTTACGCTTTTAAGGAAAATGCTTGATTTATGAGTGTATAACTCTAGCAATATTTGAATGTCCCCCTACGATTTCCTTGTTTTGGGAAGGTGGAAAGTTTCGTTCGCTTTTCGGATGCGGGACACCTTTCAGCAGCGATAATGCTGAAATAGGTGCAATACCCTTTTGAAAGCAGTCTCCCTGATCTCGTCTCGGCCGTATATCAGCAAGGAAAGCTGTAAACTCGGAGAAATAAATCAGTTTGAAAGTTTTGAGGATAGTTGTAACATCCCGGCTGTGACCAAGCGAGTGAGAGAGACTTAATAGGTTTTAAATCTCGGTCTGGAACAGCCAAGGAAAGGAGGGGGGTGGGAGGGGACAAAACCCCGAAGAGATACACTTTCCAATCTGCCTGGAAATTAATCCCAAATGAGGGAGTCTCCTTCCAAATCGGTCTTGACAGATCTGAGGGAAACACTAGACAGAAGGCAGAGCGCCGGACCCGCATTCCCGGAGAGGCACAGCTCCGCCGCCGCGGCGGGGAGCGTGGTGGGCTCCTCGCCTCGCCACACCGTGCCACCGCCTGTCCTCTTCCTGCGTGATGTGAAAATAGGCATTTTAACAAGCCTTTATCAACCCGATCTAAATTGACCCCCAAACTTGGAGTCCAACAGAGACTTTATTTATTTTTCTTTTATTTTCTTTATAAATTTTTCCTTTAGGACTCCACTCGGGCCTTCAACCCTCTGTCTTCATCGGCAAATGACCTCGTGTGTCCGTGTGCGGTGGCGTGCGTATGTCCGCGCGTGGGTGCACCTCAGCAGTTCGTGGCAATGACCATCATCTCGGGCTTAACAAAACCTCCCACCCGAGATATATGACGGGAGGCATCCTGGTGGGAAAGCACTAAGAATGGGGTGAGAAAGGAGGCAGCAGTGGCTTGTAAACGAACATGGAAAAATTCGTGGGGATGGGTCAACATAATCCACGGGAATCATTCCCAGGGCTCTAGCCTACCAGAGGCAGGGTTTCCCATTAACCTCCGTAGTTGTCTCCATCGCCTGCCCTGAGAGCACTCCCTCGTATTCTGAATTCAACTGCCGGTTACTGTTTTATTTAGAAAGGGATATGGATATCGCTCCTCTTGCTCCCCCCAGACTCGTAGTACTCGTAGTTACTCGTACATCACTCGTGTTAATGAGGAAATCCTCTCCGTCCACCACAGACAACAGTCTCCGAAACGGCTATTTTGCCGAGCTAGGCTGGAGGCTGGAGGTGAGAATTTCCCTGCAAGCCTGCGACTGCTCTGGGCCTGGGGGGACACGGAACCTCCACCCCCGCCTCCCAGAGGTGCCAGGGACATGAACCCAGCCCTCTCATCAAAGTGCATGGAGCATGCAGCCAGCCTTGGGAAACAGTAGCAGCGCGACACGGGCACAGCGCTGCCAAAGACCCCCACCTCGCTTTGCGTGGCTCCACCGCACCGCTTCGCATCCCTGTGCTGCTCCGTGCAGCGGGATCAGCGCTGACCCTTTGCCTCTGCTCAGCGGGAGAAGGCGCACTGCGGCCACCGGCCAAGTGGCGAAGCAGGACTGCCTTATCATAGAATCACCCATCCATTCTTCCATCCATTCATCATCCATCCATCTATCCATCCATCCATCCATCCATCCATCCATCCATCCATCCATCCATTGCTTGCTCCTACATCAGCGGACCTAATCCTGCTCCCTTGGCTCCCGCACAGTCTGTGGGACACAGTCTGGCTGCGTCGGGTCCTCATGTGGAGCTGGAGGGGCACTCACCGGTCTAGAGGCTGGCAAGGGAGACAAGGGAAAGGGAATTTAGCACTGAGTTTTCAAGAAACTGACAAGCTTTGGAGCAGTGCACGCATCACACGAATGATTAAAAATTGTGCAATTCTGAGCATTGTGTGCACACGATGCACGTTTGCATGGAAACACGCGTGTGCGTCTACACAGGGAGAAAGGGAGGCTGGTGGCGAGAGACCTGTGAGAATTCCTGGTTTATCCCCCTGAAATCAGTATGCCTATTGCTGGGAGCACACTTTAATCCATGCATCCAGCGGACCGGGAATCCTGTTTCTCTGTCTCCCTGCATCGTGCCCATCTCGCTCACAAGACTGGGCAGAAAATCGCAGCGTGTTTCCTATTGCTCTGCCTTGTTCTCCACCGAAGCAACGTCACGTCAAATATGCCAGTAAATTCCTTACCGGGTTAGGAACGTCATTGGTCGAATGTTTTCTGTAACCTGACTAGCCAATAACACTCCGAGAAAAAATTTAGAACAACCTAGTTAAGACAGATGGTGAAAATGACTTGACACTACATGTGTGAGTCAATATTAACTAGAGACGAAGTACTTTCCGCACTCATTAGAAACATCATAATACGCTAAAGAGACCCCATGTGCCGCTATATTTGCGGTACAAGGTCCTTTATATTCAGACAAGTGCTGCCCAAATAGTTGCCCTTGTCATTTCTGTTATAAGAACATCCACTAGCTAACATAAGCTCTGGCCTTGATAACTTGAATTTTTCGGAGCCTGTATTACTCTTGGCAGACCTTCTTCTTGCAGTTTTTCCTCCTGAAAGCAGATAAGAATTTTTGCAAAACAATTAGGTAAATAAGAGAAAGTGGAGGAGACGTCAAACCCTCTTAAAAGCACAAAAATCGTAGAACAAATGGAAACTGCTAGGGAAGAAACAAGAGTAATAGACAAACAGCAGATAATTAGGATAACCACAGTTATGAAAAGTGAAGTAATTGTATCTTTTCAGCTGTAAAGCACCACAAATATGTAACCGTGATTCCAAAATTTAAACTAACGTTTTAATCTCAGTCAACAGAAACCAATAGCAGTTATAAGAGCAGGAACCGATATTGAACCAGAACAAGAAGTCAAAGCTATTTCTACATTCAAATGTCACCAGCAATTTTCCTTATACTCAAGTTTGCAAAGGATTCTTAAAGCCTTATATATGCAGTTATGCGGAATCTGATTGCCAGCAATAAATAATGCATCCAAGGAAGAAGCTTGAGTATGTATCTTCTCACTTCCAGGATGCAGCTAGGGATCTTCGCCTCAATTCTACATCAAGGTTGTGGCTTAAGGCAGTCAAAAGGCTATTTAATTGTCAGGCAAGGCTTCCCCCTGCGGAACTCTCTCCGCATGTTACAACCTCTTTGCAGCTCAGCTCCATATGCATCTCTTTTTCACACTTCCCTCTCCATCTCGGGTTCCTACACCTGGTGCATCACGCATTTAGCCCATTCGCTCCGGCTCTTCCTTTCATCTTCCCCATGGCAGACGTTTCTATTTATCCACTGGCAATCAATGTGTGGCGTCACCGGTGGTACTGTAATGACGACTGCACCATTGAGAATGACAGCTTAGAAAGAAGAGGGCAATGGTGATCCCTCCCAGAGCAGCACAGCAGAGTGTAGCGCTCGCATCACAAGGTCACCCTATCTCACCGCTTGCTCCTCTGCATTGCCAGGAGAGGGTTGCTGGGTTTGTACGAGGTTGGGGCGGGAGCGGAAGGGAGGGGGGGAAAGATCTGCACTTTTTTCCCCCCTCTCTTAAGCAAATCCACAATGGAAACCAGAAAGGAGATGGTGATGTTTCTGGAGGGGACACAACTTGGCGCTCTAGTTGGCAAGAGGGTGCCTAATTTGTCCGAAGCAGTGGGGAGCCCCGCTCCAGAGCCGCAGGAGAAGATGATCCATCGGAACTGCCTCAGCCCCAGACCTGGCCCCTTGTCGTCCCGGGAGAGAGGAGGAGGAGGAGGTGGCGGAGGAGAAGACGAAGAGGAGGTGGAGGTGCTGCCAGGGACAGGGACGGTGCCGGAGAGCCGCTCGGCAGCGGCAGCGCTGCTTTCGGCCGGACAGCAGCCCCCAGCCCCGGAGCCCCCCTCCGCCAAAGGGCACCAGAGCAGCTCGGACACAGAGTCGGATTTCTATGAGGAAATCGAGGTGAGCTGCACCCCGGACTGCGCCACGGGGAGCGCCGAGTACCAGCACAGCAAAGGTACCCAACTCCTTCCCATGCCTCCAGCCCCCCGCCCGCGCCGGGGCCGGGTGGCAGCACCGGGGGGGAGGGGGGACTGCCGGAGGGGTCTTCCCCTCGCCACTGAAGTGAGGGGCAGAATAGGGGTGTTTATGGGGGGACCTCCTTTCCTGGCTGATTCCTTAGCTCCCTGCCACAGGGAGGCTTCTTTAGGAGTCATAGAACACGACACTGGGCAGCCCCCGCGTCCCTGGAGGGGAGCCAGGCTTCCCGCCGTGGATGCATCAGGTCTGCAGCTTGTCCCGTAGGACCCCCTTGGCCAAGATCATCAACCACTCTCCCCCTCCATCCTTTTTTTTTTTTTTTTTTTTTATTCTTCCCTATCGCCTGCATAGTGCGTTCTCCAGGAAATCCCTTCCGATCCTCCCCACCGCTGTTTTTCTTTTTTATTTGCTGGGGGGAGGAGGAGGGCAAGATCAAAAGGGTTTTCTGGCCGAGAGCTGTTTGTGGTTTTGCAGGGTGAAACGTGCCCGGGTGAGTGCGGAAGAGCCCATAAAGACCGTAAAATCGCTCGCCGACTCATGCCTGCCCCAAGTGCGGCAGAGAGGTCCCTGTCTGCACGTAGGGTTAAAAAAAAAAAAAAAAAAAAGAGGGGTCGAAATTACCTTGTCACTTCTATGTCTCGGTGGCGCCAGCTCGGAAATGGTCCCAGTGAATTAATTGCCTTTGGTCTCGGGCACAATGAGGGAGAGTTGCATTTGAAAGCAAATGCAGCTGCCAGGCCCCTTTTCCCCCTGCCCCCAGGGCCAGGCCCCTTATTCCCACCTTCCCAGCTCGGCTGAGCCCCCCCTTACCCCGACAGCAACTAATTTCTCCCTCCTCCCTATTCCTCCATCACTTCATGAGGAAGCCGGGAAGCGTGGAGAGCACTGTCTGTCCTCTCTCGTCCCTTAGAGGCTCGTTGAAAATATCCCATCCTGAGCTTTGGAAACTGAGCCGAGAGTCCCTGAGGCCTCAGCTTCCCCTTGGAGGGAGCAGGCTCTCTGCCTGCCGGCTGCTCGGGTCCCGGGCCCTGTGTGGGCTGGAGGCAGGGGCCGTGGATCTGTGCGGCTCGGGCAGTGGGCACACCTGCCTTTCCGAGCTGCTCAGGGTGAGGGGATGCTGCGGCAGCCGCCTCCGGCTTCACGGTGCAGGAGGCGAGCATGGGAGGCATCGAGCAAACGAGGATACACACAAAGGTAGCCTTCCTACCAGAGCGAATAAGCAACCGTCAACCTTCTGCTTCATCCCCTTATCCCTGCCCTCCCTCTTGGATGTCTCCATCAGCATCCTCAGTACACCCATGTAGACATAGATAAAGCGAGTGGGGATGGATGGGGGGAAGAAAGGAGCTCGCTGAGGAGGCGGGGGGCGAGCACCCCTCCTCTCCCGCCCTCCTCCGAGCGTGTGCCGTTGCTCCTGGCTCCACTCGCAGGGAAGTGCTCCGAGGCGCTGGCCGGCAGCCCCAGCAGCGGGGGGGATCACCCGAAGGGCAGCGGAGGCAGTGGCGGCTCCCAGGGCTCGCTGGCCTGCAGCGCCAGCGACCAGATGCGCCGCTACCGCACAGCCTTCACCCGCGAGCAGATCGCCAGGCTGGAGAAGGAGTTTTACCGGGAGAACTACGTGTCCAGGCCCCGGAGATGTGAACTGGCGGCTGCTCTAAATCTGCCAGAAACCACCATCAAGGTACACACAGCTCGGACATGTTTCCAATTAGCACGATATAAATCTATATGGCCAAACTTCCTTGCAAAACTCGGGAAAGCACTTTGCCAACACAGCCCTCCCTCTTTCCCCCACCTTTCCCTCCCGCCCCTTTTCTGGCCCTGCCCGCACCCTGCAGCAAGCAGCAGTGCGGGAGAGGGGACACAGTTCCTGGAGCCATCCCAGCCAGCACCGCTAATCCGGCCTCTCCCTAATAGATTATTTTATAATCCTTCCCTCAATACAGTCCAAAACTCTCTTAGCCCTTGGGGGAGGGAAGAAGAAGCCGGTAGCAGACCTTAATTTGATCTCGCTTTGCTTTGCCTTTTCAAACCCCCCCTCCATTTGCACATAAAAATAAAACTGATAACTATAATACCAGGTAGCTCTGGCTGCAAAACGGCAGCAAGGAGGCAGAGCTGATGGGTTTGCCAGGAGCCCGGGCTGGGGGTCAGTAGGACAAGCCCTGGCAAGAAGAAAGGAAAACAAGCACCCTCGAAGGGCTGTTCCACTGGGTCTCCCTGTAGATTTATAGGGGCTTAACTGATCCTTCCGTACGTGATGACAACTCCCTCTGGGAGCGAGAGCTGGCGCCGGTCTCCGCCAGCCGGCAGCCCCGCTCCCTCCTGTGTCTCCCCTGGGCAGGGGCCGGCGGTAGGGCGGCGGCGGGTGGGTGACGGCTCTCGCCTGCCCTCTCCCCGCAGGTTTGGTTCCAGAATCGCCGGATGAAGGACAAGCGGCAGCGCCTGGCTATGACCTGGCCTCACCCGGCCGACCCGGCGTTTTATACTTACATGATGAGCCACGCAGCGGCCACCGGCAATTTACCCTACCCATTCCCATCCCACCTGCCCCTGCCCTACTACTCCCCCATGGGCATCGGCGCCACATCGGCCTCCGCCGCTACCCCCTTCAGTACCCCCCTGAGGCCGCTGGACACCTTCCGGGTCCTGTCCCACCCATACCCGAGACCAGAACTGCTGTGCGCCTTCAGACATCCCTCTCTCTACCCTGCCCCAAGCCATGGACTCAGCAGCGCCGGGGGCAACCCCTGCTCCTGCCTGGCTTGCCACAGCGGCCAGTCTAACGGGCTGTCGCAGAGACCCTCCGGATCAGACTTTACCTGTTCGGCCACAACCAGGACTGACTCTTTCCTTACTTTCACGCCCTCTGTGCTGAGCAAAGCCACCTCAGTTTCCATGGACCAGCGAGAAGAAGTACCTTTAACGAGATAAATCGTTGCCTCAGGGTTATTAAAAACTGTCTCCTTTCCTGGGCTTCTCTTCCAGTTAATGTACCTACAGCCCATGTCTATTTAATTGTGTTCTCTCCCTAGAAGTGGACATCTACGGGGGAAAAATGATACTAAAAAAATAAAATAGTTCAGTCTTAAAAGGATTTACATTCAAAGGGCAAAAATAAAAATAAATAAAATAAAGGTAAAAAAAAAAAAAAGGGAAGAAATGACTGGTGGTTTATCCTTGAGAAGAATTTTAGGTACGTGAAAGGAAGAAAACCAACTCGAAAGAAATATACTTCGGTAATCTCTAGAAACGAGCTGGGACTTTCTTTTCCGTGGATAGACTTCTTACCAAGGGCTGGGGCTTCTGCGGGTCACGGCATCAAATCTTATGCACAAACCTACGAGAAGGAAAATCTGAAATACTTGAAAGAAACATTATCTAAATAATGAAATGACTTGTGCGCGTGAAGAAAGCAAAGATGTAACCTACCAGAGTGTTCACAAAATAAAATCAACGAGCAAACAGCAAAAGCAAAAGGTTTCTGGATTGCAACCAACAGTATTATCCAGTTGTCTCTATAGTGAAAAACAATGCTTTACCATTAAGAAAAACTGTCATTCTGTACATTACTTTCGTGGTTTAATAGCATTCTTTACTCTCTTGTTTCCTTCGTTTTGAGAAGAAATTCGACATTTCGTCTCCTCTTTCATTGCAACTTTTATTTTTAAGAGGCAGACTGGAATTGGCAGGGAAAAAAATACGAGCTCCTGCCTCTTTCTGAGTCAGAGATATTTGTCCTTTAAATAACAATGTCCTATTACCAGTCTCTGAAATGTGCACACACTGACGAAATTAGCAAGTGATGTATATGTAAAGAGGGGTTTTGAATATCGAATGTATAATGCTCAGTGAGCAGAACCCGCGTGCCAAACGCTAACAAGCCGCCAAGGGAAGAGATTAGGTGACAGGGAGCACAACTCCTTCAAACAATCACCAGTCTGTAAATTGGAGCAGAGGCGATTTCCCTTCCTTTGTACTTCAGCCTTCAGTTCTCTCATTGACTTTTCTTTGCTGCCTCTGCTTTCTTTTTTCTTTTTCTTTTTCTTTTTTTTTTTTTCTTTTCTTAGTTATTTAATTCACGCCTTGGGTTTTGTGTTTCCTTCCCCACCCCTAATCTTTGCATCTGTATGTGTCCTTCACACTGGTCCCTCTTCCTTTTTGAGGGGTATTTCTTTCACAAGCCCACCCCCCTCGCGCCTCTTTCAGGTATTTCGGAAAGAGGTAACATCATTGCTTTTGCTTGGATTTCTGTCAATCTAAAATTTAAACCACGCAGACACAGGGCTGGGTAGCAGTTTCTTCCAAAGCTGGAATTGTTTAATTCATTCTATATTATAAATACAGGTAATTCTAAATAGCCCAAAGAATACACTGCCATATTTTGTTACCATGTCGGAATAAAATCCAGTAACAAAATTACAGCACCACTAACCATAATAGCAACGGACACATTTTAACAACATATCACACATATTTTTATTTTGTGTGTTTAAAGGAAAAAATGGAAGTGTTGCTTAAGACAAATTTCACCTTCGTGCAGTTTCTAACAGTTACAGTTCAACAAGCAGGAAAATAAATGCTGGACAGAACAAAGACGTGTTGACACCTCCGCTATCTACTTTGTGTTAAATTGGTGAGGAGCCTCTGGTTTATTGTCACACCGGAGACTTTTTGTCCTTAGGATAGGGAGTGAATAGCAGCGTTTCCCTGTAGCGGATGGAGAGCAGGGAAGAGACACGGGCGTGCCAGGATGCATTTTTCCAATTAAAAAAAAATATAATAAAAATTTGTTTATTCGAGCTTTTAAAAAGCTGATCCAAAGTCACCATCTTTAAATCATTTAGGGCAGATTGTTCCGCCCTTTCTAAATGAGAAGTCCTCATGGACATGGAAACCGATGGCCCTTTTTGGTCACTCACAAACAGATTATCCCCGCTCCCATCCCCCCGGAAATAGCAATCGTAAACAGCGTCCAAGGGCAGAGCCGAACAACAGCCGAGCTTTGCAAGCCTTTCACCTCCTTGGTTTGTCTTTTAGCAGACAGGAGAAGAACCAGTCAGAGAAAACGGGAACTGCGGAGCGAGTGCCTGATCCCCCCCCCCCCGTCGCGGCGACCCCCTGGGACGAAGACCGCTGAGGAGGCCGGGGGCAGCTGAGCGCTGCCCCCCAAACCAGGGAGTCCTGGGCGGCCCGGGACAGGGCAGATGCACCTGCGGGGCCGCGATGACAGGGCAGGATGTGGCCAGGAGTGCTGCTGCTGCCGCCAAGGTTTTTTGCTTTTGCAAAACACCTGCTTTACAACATGCCATCTCCTGGGGTGCAGGGCAATATATATATATATACACATACATACCGAATATATATACTTTTTCAAATACATATATTTTCTATATCTAGGTGTGTGTCAGAAAAAGAGTGCTTAACCCGCTGTTTACCGCTTTCGCCCTGAAAGGAAACACCCTCACGTGAGAACGGGCAGCGGGAAGGCAGAGCCCGGGAGCGCGGCTTGTCCGCAGCCGGCCCGCTCCCCGCCGCCCGCTCTCGGAGGATGCTGCGGCAAAGGGTGACTCTGAATTTCTCCGTGGCTCGGTCACAGGGCAGAAATTGACTGCGACAGGTAAATAGGCTGCGGGTCGCGGTAATGCCAAGAGTATTTTCAGTTAATAGGGGAGGGAAAATGAGGTGTCTGGAGCAATATTGGAAAGTACAAGATCGATGATCCGTCCTCGTGTCCAATCAGCAGCCTTTAATTGACTGTATTTTCTAGGTAATTGAGCCGCTGTGCTCTTAAATTGAACTGGAAGATATAACAATACATCTCACTGGGAGGAATTACTCATTACTTCATAATGAAATTTTCCTTTTGCTGCGTGGGGCCGGCGCTGTTAACGCCTTCACCGCCGGCGAGGGGGCCCTCTCCGGACACGCGTGGGGTACCGCCGGCGGCGGGGGGCAGACCCCGGGCACCCCGCCGGCAGCAAGCTCTACTTCTGGCCCCCAGCCACTGTCACCAGCCAGGCAGGTTTCCCTTCCCTCTCCCTGGCCGGGGATGAGACCCTCGGGGGAATTAGGGTGAGCCCTGGGGGGAGCCGGCGGTGGGCACCCGCCCCCTTGGCACCAGTGGGTGTGGAGTTGTCTTCGGGGTACCCCAAGCGCAGCATCGGCTCCGCTTCCCAGCCAGCCAAATTCAGCTCCGAAAGGCCTTCCCACCCCCCCTTGTTAGCCTTTGATTGATTGCCTTATTAAAGCGTGTTCTTGTAAGTGTGACCGAGCTGATTGCACCGCATATGTTTGGGATAATGCTCATTTTAAACAACTGAATAATAATACTACTAATAAAAAAAGGACCAAAAGAGGAAGAAGATGAGCTCTAGAGAACGGGTTAAGCCTAAACGATCCCGGGGAGCAGCGCTGTAACTCGCGCATTAAATCGGTCCGTTACTATCAAATCACTCAGCCCATCTTTGTTGTATTTTATGTGTTACCTCCTGTACCATTAAGTAAGATAGCGCTGAGACTGCCGCTTACTTCCCCGTCCTAGACTATGTTTTTATTAAGGTTGGATGATCAGACTGGATTGGATCTGCTTTCCCAGCATTATTCTTTGCTCCAGCCCTCAGATCATTAGGAAATCGGCTCTCCATATTCCACATTTTCTGTTGGATTGTTAGGTCGTTTTGCCGGCACCTGCAGAAAGGCACGCGGCTCCTTTAGCTTTTTAGCTTGTCTATCTGAAGGTTCCTTTTGTTTTCTGTTATGCTCCTGCTCGCCTGGCTACTTTATTTTACTACTGAGTTGAGCCCCTGAAAACACCCTCCGCCATATGTCACCCGAAGGCCCGCTTACAATAGCGTCACCCTAGGGTAAAGCCGACGTCAGGATGAGCTGGCGACTCGTTAACACAAATGGTTTCATTTAGGTGCATCAGGTTCCTGAATGAACGCAAAGTGGCGGGAGAGGAGGGGAAACCACGGCCTTTTGCTGCATCTTGCTCCCCAGAGCACTAGTTTGTTGCTTGCTCCCTTCAGAGCTTCCCGCTGCTCCTTTTGTAAGACGGGGGGATCCCGTTCTCCCTCGACACTCGCTGAAGGGCTGACCCTCGTACGGGTAGGGTGAGCTGCCACCGGGCAGGAGATGGGGTCAGGGTCGATTTGGGCAGGTCCCCGCAGGAACTGGTCCCTGTCTTCGGAAAGTTTTTATTCTTTTTTTTTTCCTCTCTCTCTAAGTAGGTGGAAGAAGAGATAGCTAGCTCAGGATCTTCAGCCAAGAAAACAAATCAATCACAACCTCTGGTCTCGAATTCACAATTCACCGTTTGCTTCTTTTTGCTTTCTATTTTGTTCCTTTTCTTTTTTTTTTTTTTTTTAATCCGTTAAACAGAGTGTACCTACGACCAAGACCGTAGCTCAAGTTTGCACTAATATTTATAAACCGTATTTTAAAAAACCTCCATCCGTGTGTTGCGTGCACGTATACACACAAAGCAAACATGCAAAGCGATTTTCCCTGCTGCCCTCTCTGCAAAGAAGTGCCTGGGACTTCAGAGACAGAAATTGCCACTTAAGAACATCACATGAAAGTATTAAGTAATTATTTAAAACAAGGCTGTTTAGAAAAATATTTGTATTTATTGCAGCTGCTCGATTGGCCTCGTTAAAGCTGGGGAGCATTTAAATTGTGTTACAGTCTCATTTAAATCCAGTTTCGTTCCAGCAGGCTGCAAAGCCTGAATAGAACCAATCACTCCATAATGATGATGAATGAGAAATTAATTCAGATACAAGCAAGACAATTTAGGCCTTCATCTGTTTAAATAGCCTTCCAAGATTATTCGCAATTGCAGGTCACAGATTTAATCAATTGTCCAATCTTGTGAAAGTCATATCTTTGCATCTTCATCGAGATTATTTATAACGCGGCAGAGCCCAGTATACGCTCTAAACAGGAACAATTACTTAAAGGGAAGCGTTTGTAAAATGAAAAACAAATGCTTTCGTGGGCAGTAAACGATCAAACACCTCCTAGCTCTTCCTGCACATCCTCCTCGGCCTGAGGA